ACACACACACAGATCCATACATACAGACACGCACACATGCACACACACACACACATGCAGACGCACACATACACACACACATATGCGAGGAATGAGCCCTCGCAGGGCCCTTATCAGACATGCATATGTTCTGGGCAGACACCCTCAGCAAGCCCTGTGCCCACCCTAAGTGAAGATGGGCCTGAATATTCACGAGAAGGCCAAAATTTGACATTTTTCCACATGTGGGTACGCAGGCAGTTGCAGCACCCCAGTTGGTTGCAAGGAAACGTGAGCCTCTCGGCTCTTTCCGGAAAATACATGCTGCGTCGTACAGTTGCGCCTAGGCACACACCTTGCCAGGCAGATACATCACAAAGTGGCCACAGGCCTGAGAAAAAGCAGCATTACCGACGTACCTGCCCCGGGGGCCATTGCAAATGCAGCAAACGGGGAAAGGCTGGGAATACTGGCCAAGCCCGATTGTAAAGGGCCCAAGCCCTCAACTGCAGATCTGGGCCTGGGCGCAGGCACTGGGGCCCAACCGGAAGCTACTGGAAGCTTCTCAGCCAGGCCACAAGCAGCCAAAAAGAGGCTGCCACTTCCATATAGGGAAGGAGGCAGCCAGGGTCAGTCATTCTGGCCCGCGCAGGCAATGCGGTCACGCTGCTTTGTTGCTGCGTGACAGGCTGCGTGCTGCGTTAGCGGCCAGTGCGCATGCAGGCGCTTGTGAGGTGAGAGGGGCGCTGCTGGGCAGCGGACCGCGAGCTGCCATAGCTGGGCTGCACGTACTTGGTGCATGAGGAAGGGCAGCTATGGTGTTGACGTCATGTACATTGGTCTTCAAAGTCAAAGTGAGCCTGTTGCGTGAATGCAGCTGTAGTAGGATAGGCAAGTAGTGTGCGCTGGGCGCTGGGCGTGAGACAGAGAGGAGCGACATTGGATACTGTGTTGGTGTGGCCTGAGGGCTTGAACATTGGCTCACGAGTTCAGTGTATTGCTCTTATTTGGATGGAATCTAGGTGTATTTGTGCTCTCTGCTTGTACGTGACTACTTGGACATCTGTGTGATTTCGGAACTTGGTTTTCTGTATATTGTTCTCACTCATATGCCTTGCCCATACACACTGTAACACACATACACACACACACACACACACACCCACACACGCACACACAGACACAGACGCATACACACACACACACACACACACACACACACACACACACACACACAGACGCATACATACATACACACATACATACACACACACACACACATACACACACACATACACACACATACCAGAGCTGTTTTTTTTTGTTTTTTGTTTTTGTGCCCGGACACTGGGGCCCGCTCGGAAGACCGGGGGAGTTGTCCGATCGGACAACCCGGAATAGAAATGGGCCCCGGACGTCCGGGCTGGTAACCTAGCAGTGAATGGCTTTATTTCAACAGTTCTTGGGTCTGATTTTATCTCAACATTCGTTCGATCTTCATTATATTTTGAATAATAATATTTTCATTTTTTCCGATTTTTCGTAGAATTGTCGATTTTTTGAATTTTTTTCGGATTGTATAATTTTCAGATCTTGCTGTACCTCTTTTGACGATTTTCAAGAACCTCAAATATTTGCATGCGTCATCAGACTTGTACATGCGATTGAGGTGAAATAATAACACTTGTGTGTGGGGGGGGGGAGGGCAATGAAATGACTCTGTGGATATGAGCCTTGGGAGAGTCATCAGGCTGTTATCCCTGGTGAGAGAGTGCCCTTCCTCACCAGGCCCCCGGATGGCTATGGCCGACTTTCGTCTCGGTTCAACCCTTGCAGAAAATCGAAATTGAACATGCACGCTTGGCTATGTTGTAGAACAAAAAAATTTGTATGTCCACAGGGCCACCCCGCTGCCCCAAGCACACAGCATCAATCGGAATAGAAAATGATTCAATAGACTCCCAGAACTGTTGGGCTATGGGTGCCCCTGGCTATGGCTGCCTCCGCTCTCCATGCTATCAGCCCTGAAGTTAATGCAGCTTTTTCTTCTTCTACTCACGCAAACTTGCAGAACGAAAATTTTGAACTACTACTGCACAGCTCGGCATGTCAAAGTGCCCTTTTACAACTGGTGCTGGGGTGTGACTTTCAGCTCTCTCTCTCTCTCTCTCTCTCTCTCTCTCTCTCTCTCTCTCTCTCTCTCTCTCTCTCTCTCTGTGTGTGTGTGTGTGTGTGTGTGTGTGTGTGATGTACCTTTTGCGCATATCTGCCTCTGAATACTTGGGCAACCAGTTTGCCATGCTGATCTTCTGTCACAGTAAAACAAACATGCCAGTGCTGTGCACAAGCCACATCTTCTTCATTATCCAGTTGCAATGACTACAACAAAGGAAAACATGAGGATGAGGAAAGTGGCAGAAGAGAAAGAAGAAGAGGGGTGTGTGGAGATGTGTGTGTGTGTGTGTGTGTGTGTGTGTGTGTGTGTGTTCGCTATACACAACTCCACAAAGAAAAGCATGACTGTGAAGACTGTTTCGTCAGACTTTCACCATCTCGTCAAGAGGTTGAACCTCGACAGTCTTCCCAGTATGCATTCGACTGATGGACAAGGACTGACCACGTCACCCAGAGTTAGCGATATCCCTGAGAAACGTGATGGACTTTGCTCCTCTCACCAGCCCTGCAATCCTAGCAGACTGTCGGTCCAAACCCCTGTCAAGAATGGCACTAAGTCTGAGAAACTATTCTGACACAGCCATAAAACCCACTCTGCACACCCACTCAGCCATCGATACCCAGTGGCATGACTGCGGGTACGGTCCTGACCCTAGTCGCATCGATCCGACTGAAAGGAGAGCTTCGCAAGGCCGTGTTGTGTGTTGTCATATTCGCTATACACAACTCCAGAAAGAAAAGCATGACTGTGCCAGACTGTTTCGTCTGACTTTAAAGTTTCAACTGACTCCTCAAGAGGTTGAAACCCCGACAGTTTGCGCAGGATGCATTTGACTGATGGATAAGAACACACCATCGGTGTGTGTGTGTGTGTGTGTGTGTGTGTGTGTGTGTGTGTGTGGAGGGGGAGGTAAGAGGGCTAATGACTCATCAGTCATATATCAGATGTGGTCTGCAGGAGGAATGTAGGGGGGTGATAAGTCTGTTGTGTGCTGTTCAGTGGATGTCCTGTGGGGCCGTGATAGGTCGGATGGGGTCTCAAGGAAATTGCAGGGTTCATTGCAGGATGATGAGCGGAGCCCTAAACGAGGCGGAGTTGGCCCTGGGTATGGGTGGGAAAGGGGGCAGGTTTGACGGCGGTGTGAAGGGATGCTGTTTGTCGTGTGCAGGGTGCGGGGCTTTGCTTGGGGGTACAAGGTTCGAGTTTCACTTTAGGGGGGTTAAGGATCAGGGGATGCCGGATGGGGTTAGACTCGTTAGAGCTGTCGGTGGTATTTTATTGGGTCTGGGGGTGGGTGAAGAGAAAGGGGGGTTGGAAAGGGGCACTCTTTACTAGGTGCAGGGTGTGATGATTGCCTTGGGTGCAGAGGATGGCAGATGAGCATCAGTGGTGTTGGGGTTGTGTCATGGAGGTAGACTGCACGTCGAGAGGATCCTAGCAGCAATGCTCTCTTGCACCCTTGTCTCCCCCCCCCCCCAAAACCTACTCTCAACCCTAACGCACATTGCTCAGCAGCGTTTTTTCCAGGCAAATTAATTGGACACTCTCTATAAATTCTGCCAAAACTTCCTCAGAAGCACGCTATGCCTTATTGTTGGTGTTATATTGAGACTTGAATGTTCGGGCAGTTTTGATACCGGGTTGATGATGTCAAAGTGCGATTCAGGTTTTCACGCTGCATTGTTATCTCCTTTCGCTTTGATGATACTTGGTTGTTCGGTTTGGACTTTTTGACTTGGAGGAAACGTTACAATGATTTTCTGTCTTTCTTCTCTGAGTTTAGCTCTCTTTGCTTCTTCGGTATTGCCTTTCTCTGGTTTCTCTTGTTAGAATGTCTGTTTTGAAGTGCTTCCAAGGCATTATCTTTTGGTTGTGAAATTCTCATCGCTTACATCGTTTTTCTGTGAAATTCTGATTGTATACGTCGTTTTTTGTTCTGTTCTTGTGCATGCTTCTCCATTAGGGAAGAGGAGGCCGATATTGTCTTGGCGTGCCAGGTTAGAGATCCTGATCGGTGTCGGGAGAGCTTTGTCCTACATGCACAGGTGTACTCCTCCAGGTGAGACTTCAAATCTATCTGCACTCTTCCTTGATGTATTCTTTCACCAATCTTTGTGCTCGCTTCAGACTGCACATCAGAGTACAAAGCGCAATAGCTGGCGAGATTAGCCAATGGGCGGTTACTGTCTCTTCCTGGATTAGTAGAGGGGCAGGGGTGAAGGGGGCGCTTACAAGTCACACATGGAGAGGTGTAGTGTGTGCGTGTGTGTGTGTGTGTGTGTGTGAGAGAGAGAGAGAGAGAGAGAGAGAGATGTGTGTGTGTGTGTGTGTGTGTGTGTGTGTGTGTGTGTGTGTGTGTGTGTGTGTGTGTGTGAGAGAGA